CCTAAAAATTAAAATATTCACTGATGATGGGACGCCTTTTGTTTTTGATCATAACTTGAGAACGAAAAAAAAATATCGAAAAACTGTTAACGCCATTTGATTTAAAATGAAACAATAACATAGAAAAAGTGGAATTAACTTGGTCCCTGTGATGAAAGTAGGTGAAATGAACGATTTCCGAAAGATATCCTTCCAGCTTCGGACAGCCGAAATCGACCTTTTTCCATTTCACCTATTTTCACGATACGAAACAAACCAATAACATTTGTCTAATAGTATTTTTCAAGTCGTTGATAAGATTACATTCTTCTGATTATGTTAAAAAAATAGTTTGGCCGTTTCTATCAAGTTTAACTATAGATGTGCCCTGTCACATGTCAAAATTTTGCTTTTTTCAAGATGATGATTTTAAGAAATGGTACGGCATTTGAAAAATTGACTTTGTATGTCGCAGGATTTTATTTCAAACACTCTAGGCAAACGATACGCAGATAAAAATCACAAAAACAAGTATGCCCCTCATCATACCGGCCGCCGAGGACAACGAATTCAAAGAAGCCAAGTACCAAAAATCGATATTTTTCGGCATAACTTGTGTGTGCATGATTTCCCCCGGGGTATTGATATGTTTCTATAGTAAATCAAATGTGCTGAATTCAATGGTCATAATGAAAAAAAAGTTAACCTAGGATTTTTGAGATATCGAAAATTTTTTTGGTTTTTTTAAAAAATCAATATTCCAATAAATAGGAAAAAAATTAAAAAATTATATTCTCAAATGTTCAATTAATTGTCTATCTACTGTTTTTTAAGTTCCAAAAAACGGACATGAACTGACAAAGTTATGATTTTTTGAAAATTTAGGCGTTTTTTGGTACTTTTTGGACCATAACTCCCAAAAACAATTTTTACCAACTATTCCGTTTGGAATCTAAAATAACTTTTTACGCTCTCTCCAACCATATAGGTCTCGATTTTTTTCGAGGGTAACACTTGGGAGTCATTTCATGGCAGACAATCAGAAACTTCTAGGACCTCTAGGTCGCCGAATCAAATTTATCACAATAGTACCCGAACCCGCCTTGCTAAATAAGATCATTTTTCGAAACAATAAATTAAAAATCCCACAAAATTATCTTCACATACTTTGCGATTTATAACTTTTCCTTTATTACAATTATCTATAGACACATTATTCTAAAAATCATAGAGATCACAAAAAGGAGAGCCACAGTTCCAACTTGATCATAAGAAGCTCCATCAGTAATTTGAGTGGAATTCTCGCTCGATTCGGATCCAGCTCCACTTCGTGCTGATGCCTTCTGAACCGGAGAACACAATCCATCATCGTTCACGAATCCTTTGTCACAAGCAGTTCCCACAAAAATAATACACAAAGCAAAACAGTGAACGATTTATTTAAGTGAAACAATTTTATCAAACAGCTCCTTCCAATCATCTGGACTGTAATCATGCGCATCTTGTGGTGATAAACCACTGAAATCGGTGTTCTTGCTGAGTCCCGAATAACATTTCACCTGAAAAAATTTTAAAAATTAAAACCAATTTGGAGTGTATAACAATTTTGGGGACTTTTTTTTCATATGAGGATTATAGTGATCTAACTTTCTCCACAAGATTTTTCTAGGTAATCTTACTATTAGTTAAAGATCCGAAAATGACCAGACATGCAGCTGGTGTTTCTTCTAGGCCATTCACTATGGTTGCCTAACTTTAGCGAATTGAGATTTCTAGGCCACCAAAGTTTATGGTACAAAAATAGCGTAACATTCAACTTGTGTTTTCTAGGCCAGTTACGATGATGACCTAATTTTTAAGAGTTGTGGTTTCTAGGCCACCAATTTTTAAGACCAAGTAATGGCCTCATTATATCATTGTTTGTTTTCTAGCCCACTTTTAAATGATGGCCTAACTTTTGCAAGTTGTGTTTTCTAGACCACCATGATGTATTGCTTAGAAAATTTTAAGTAGAAAAAACGAACCTTCAATTTTTCCATTTTATACTTGAGTGCCGTTTGGAACTTGAATTCGAATGGTTGATGAGACCGGAAAAAAAGGAATTCCTCGCATCTGTCGATTGCAGTTTGACAATTGAAAAAGTCGGCCAATTTCAAAGTTCCGAGATTTTTTCGTCTGAAAATATTGATTTTTTTTGGAAGTTTTTTGGAATTTCAAAACTTCAAAGTTATGTAAACATTAAAACATTTTTTTTTCTGAGATTGTGGAGTTTTAGATAATCATAATTGTTTTTATGACATTCAGGTTTTTTGAAATTTCAAAAATTGTCTGAAAATTGTGATTTTTTGAAAATTTGTCAAATTCCGAGAAAAACAAACTTTTCCAGAACTTTGAAGTTTCATACAATTAGATTTGTAGAAAAGCCCGTTTGGATGAAAATTACAATTTCTGAAAAAATCGAAATTGGTTAAATTTCGAAAACTGCATTTTCACAAATTTCGAATTTTCGAATTTCTAATTTCCTTACCTTCAACCACTGAAATTCCATAAACAAGCTCCAAAAACATTTGAAAAACATTCGGATCGATATCCTTCAATTCGATTTCCGACTTTCCAGATTCCGAGAAGTTTCCATTAAAAAGAGATTTGAAATATGTCGAATGAAAGCTGAGCAACATTTTGGAGACGAAAAACTTCTGGTCCCCAACCACCAAAACGACATCCGACGACTCTTTTGCCACGTCATCAGAAAAATTTTTGGATTCAATCTGCATTATTCCAGTCGTTTCACTGATTCTCACTCGAACTTCCACTGTTGCCGTTTTATTGATTTCATAGTTTGAAAATTCGTTTTTCGAAATGTGCATTGAATAAAAATTCTTCTCATCTTGAGTGAACAAATACGATCCAGTTCGGAATGATTGTCCCCCAACGAGTATATCGAAATTGGTTTTAATTGACCAATCATGAGATTGGAATTTCTCGCAGTTCAGTCCAATGCGTAGATCACCATCTTGATACTTGTACAATTTCACAGCCCTTAAATAAGACTTTTGACTTAATTCGAGGTTAAGGGTCTCAAGAAATTATAAGGAGGCGAGGCATGAGAATTGAGCTCACAACTTCAACTCGTCAAGGGGCTTACCTACAGTACCGGTCAATGAGATATACAAGAACTATTTTTCAGTAGATTTTCGGCAATTTCGATCATTTCAGGAGTCATTAAAAACTTTGCACGGATTTTTTGAAATCTCCTAGTTTTTCAGCTATTTGCCGATTTCTGAAAAACAACTGCTTTTCCACGTTTTTCAGTACAATAGCGAGCCAAAAAAGGTGTACGTCTGAAATCGGAAAATTGCTGAAAAGCTAGAAACTTTCGAAAAGTTTTGTAAATGCAAAGTTCCCAGTGTGGATCTGATTCACACCCTCCAAAATTTTTAAAAGGATTGGAAACTTGACAGACTAGTTCCAGACTCCTGAAAATGGTCGAAACAACTTTTCTGGACTATTAATCTGGTATAGGGCGATTTTTTTGAATTTCAAATAGTAAATTTTACCAAAAAGCACCGAAATGTTTCTCCACATTCCCAACCATTTCATTTTGTTTAGCCAATCCATCGATATTCTTGAAGACGTGCGTGATCCCAAAATTTTTCTCTTCGGTAGTTGACATTTTGGAACTGCAAATACATATTTGTGCAAAATTTTGAAATTCCTGAAGTTTCTAAATATATTTCGTATCCAAAACGTTTTTAAATTTTCCAATTCTTGAAATTCCGAAACTGGGATTTCTGAAATTTCAAACTTTTGTGTTTCTGAAGTTAGGTTTTTTATTATTTTGGAGTTTCGAAAACTGAAATTCCTGAAACAATAAAATTGTAATAAAATTTCAATAAAGACATTTCGAAACTTTTTTCTCAATACTTGATTTCAAAAATTTCAACTTATGGAATTTCTGGGATTAGAAAAATTTTGAATTTCAGGATTTGTGGTATACTTGAAAAATTTAGTTTTTGAGTTTTTGAAATTGCTGAACTTTTGAAAATATTCTCGATTTTCCCAATTTCTCGAAATTCTATAAATTCTGAATTTTTAAAAATTTCAAACTTTTGTATTTTCCGAATTTTGCATTTTCCAATTTTTGAATGTTCCGTATTATTGAATTTTTTAACCTTGAATTTCTAGATATTTGGAATTCTTCTAAAATTTTCAAATTTTCCGATTTTCTTGAGAATTTCTAAGTAAGTACTCACCTCAAAATTTAGTCAAGTTGTAGGAAAGTTGAAACAGAGAATTAGCTATGGAAACAACTATTTTTCTAATATAAAAATGTCCTCTAAAAATGTATTGCAAAAGTGTTGCGCTTTCGTAAGCAAAGCGGAGAGACTGTAGAAACAGAGGAGGGTCTTGAGAAATAAGAGTTAGCAATGCAACAAAAAGTAGGAGAAGAAGAAGGAGGCAAAAATTGTGATATTGTCAATTCAAAACAATCGCGCGGATGAACGCACACACAAAGAAGTAAACAACCTGTCGAGACGCTCCGCCCCTTTTTGAGGCGCGGTTTTGTGGGCGTGCAAAGGCGCCGCACAGTTTTTTCATGGTTTTTCATTCAAGCCATTTTTTGGTAATTTTTCCCCAAATTTCGTTCGAATTTGAAGACAATTTGGCTATTTTGTGAAGGAATATATACTGTTGATTGAATAAAAGTTGAGAAACAATTTGTTTTGATTTATTGCTCTCTTCATTTTTACCTCAAATCAGAACAAATTGTTTCTCAACTTTTATTCAATCAACAGTATACATTCCTTCACAAAATAGCCAAATTGTCTTCAAATTCGAACGAAATTTGGGGAAAAATTACCAAAAAATGGCTTGAATAAAAAACCATGAAAAAACTGTGCGGCGCCTTTGCACGCCCACAAAACCGCGCCTCAAAAAGGGGCGGAGCGTCTCGACAGGTTGTTTACTTCTTTGTATGTGCGTTCATCCGCGCGATTGTTTTGAATTGACAATAGTAAACAGCACGTTTGAAGGTGACGAGAAGGAAAAATTAAAAAAATGAGAAAACATTTTTTAAAGTTTAAAACTAAAAATGTGATAACATGTGAAAGTTGAAAATCAGAAATTGGATTCAGGAAGTCCTTGTATTGATAAAGTGATAGTGGTTTTCAATAATTCACACAAATTTTGATTTTGAGTTTTGTTCTCAATAGATAGTTTAGCGTTAGAATTTTCTCATGAAGCTAAGAAATTGAAAAAAAATTGTGGTTTTTTAAAACAATATTTGACTTTTAACATAATATCAGAAAAGGTTTAGATGCCGCATAAATAAGAACATTTGTCATCCATTTCTGGAAACTTCCGGGTTTTGAAAAATGTCTTCAATTTCCTCCAAAATGGACACTTTTTTGTTTTCAGAACTATTCTGTAGGTGGTCTAGAAATGGCGGGAACTCAAAAACACGTCTTCTAGACATTTCTAGATTATCAAAGTTTACTCGACAAACAGTGACAGTAGTCGACAGCAAAATGGTGTCAGCAGCGGTAGTGTGGATGAATATTGAGTAGTTTGCAAATCAGTTTGCGCATCAATAATAAAACTGTCAGAAACAATAAAACAGATCAAATGAAGTAACTATAACAAAACAGATCAAATGAAGTAACTGCAAAAGTCATTTGTTTTTGCAAAAGTCATTTGTTTTCAGAATTTTCAAAAAATTCAGGATGGCATACACTTCATACTTTGAAGCACTGGAAGAATGTCAGCTAAGTTCCTTGGAGTATCGCAGGCTCTATAATGATTTGGTCTACACGTATAAAATTATTGTTTCCAAAGAAATTATCATGGAGGTTCCAATTTTCGAAATATTTAATTATGTTGGATCATTGCGACGTCGCAAATACTATCTCAAATCACTTATCAAAAACTCAACAAAAATATCTTCTCAATTTCTCTCTAATAGAGTAATCAGATGTTGGAACTCTTTACCCGCCAATGTGTTTCCGGTGAAGCCCTCGTCAGCGGCTTTCAAAAATCGACTATTATCCTGTGATCTAAAACATTTCCTTGTCTTGAATTCAACTAATTACTAACTCGGTTTTTCCTTCATCTCCCAATTACTACAAATGTATGTCCCTGTTATATCTTCTAGTTTCATAGACATTTCACGTGTTAGTGGTTTTCTCCCCTTTGTTGAAATAAATAAATAAATAAATAAAATAAAACAGAAAAAAGTTAAGAGTATCAACTTATTTATGATAAGTGGGAGAACAATCATGTCCTCTAAAAATTAAGAAAGTCACGAAAAAGAATCGTTGCTAGAATCTGGAAACAGTGGACTTCAAATGCTCGGAGGAAAAATGCACCCAATTTCAGAGACATTATTTTTCGATTTTTTGAACTAATTTCCTAAAATTTTTCGTAAGTTATAAATGACTCAAAAACCAAACTAATATGCATTTTCTGTAAAACATACAAATAACTGAATAGAAAATGATATCTCCTAAAAAATTTTATGACAGACATGTATTTGTTTGATCACTATTTTTTGTAGTGTTACAGATTTGGAATCCAGTGCAATGTCTGAAAAATTATGAACATCCCTTGTCGCATTTTTGATGTAGACAGACGCATTGTAGAATTGGTAAATGCCACAGAGACGTATTGATTGAAAAAAATTTAGTGTTTCAAATCTTCATTTTGAAACTGGCTTCTTCTCAAAAACTTTAATGATACTATGTAACCCATGGCTTTATTGAAACAGAAATACAGGTTATTTGTTCTGAAAACATTTCAGTTTGATAAATTTCATTAACTTAAAAAATTAATATAATTAATGTAGTATACAAGCACACATCCGAACGATCGCACACGAATAAAACTAATCATATAAGGTTTCTATAGCAGTAAAATTTAGAGTGATTTATAGAAAATGAGACAAAAAACTACATTCTTTAAGTTTGAGAAATCAAGGAATTTGAGAGTCAGTGGGCTTGAAACAGAAAAGAAGAAATGAATTGTCGTATTTCCAAGTACAGTAAAACATGTATCAGAAGGGCCTCTTTAATAACAAGGCCCTTATAGTAGAAGGGCCCCTGCATTAGAGGAGCCCTGTGATGAAAGGAGCCCCTTCAAAGTGTGTTGTCTGAAATTAAAATGTTCCTTACGTTTTCAGTAAAAACATATTCCGGAAGTCCCAAAAAAATTGGAAAGTACTTCGAAAAAATTACTCAATGTTGTGAAGTTGATAGATTTTCATTAATGTTTTAGGAGAATTCATTGCATTTTTGGGCGTCGCCGGTCACTTCTGGCCGGCGTTTGGTCGGCTTCTGGACGGAGGTTGGTCAGATTCCGGCAAAGGCATTCGGAAGCCGACCAAGCCTCGATCGGAAGCCGACCAAGCCTCGACAAACTTCCGGCCAACTTCGGACCTCATAACAGCAGGGGCCGGTTTTCTTCGCGCTTTTTCTCATGTTTTATAGTAAAACAGTACATCGTATTGTATTTTATTTATTACAAAAAATAATACATATAAGGGGGATTTAGAAAAAAATTACGAAAGTCGGAACATCATCACACAAGACACGCTGGTGAGAAGTTGGCCCGGAAAACTAACTTCATGTTCTTGTTCAACGCATATTGGCCATCTATCTACTTTTCAAACACCGCCGATCCCTCAGATGGCATGTACAAAAGCTCATGATAGATGGAACTGGTGAGTCGACGAACTATTATAGAACGATCGGGTTCATGTGGGCTATGTACTTGCCGTCGGCGCCGTTTAGGCTGTCCGGTTCGCAGACGTATTGGATTGATGAGCCGAATGAGAGTCCTTCTCGTTTGGATCGTTGATCAAGACGAAGCTGGAATTTGGAGTTTAGGTTTCGAAGGATCTAGGGGTTTAAAGATCCAAGGATCTAGGGACCTAGCGATCCTCAGGTTCTTCGAACCAAAAGCTCCTGCGCACGTACCACGCGATCAGATTGCTCTGATTGACACCGTAGTGACTCGTCATATCGTAGTATTCTCGGATATCTCACGGAACAGCGGTGAGCATTGTCGTTCAAGGCGTGAGCTGTTTCATCTTTGATGACACTCAGATGTACTACGATCTACAAGTTTCACAATTTTTTGAATCACATTTCTATGTTTTTACCTTTTTGTGAACTTTGGATTCCAGTATCAATTTTTTTCTGCCCGAATACGTGTTGCCACCTTCCTTCTGAAAATCATCATAAATACGTTCACAAAATTATGTATCTTACGAAGTTGTCTCTTCGACCTGGATTCGATATTCTGACGAATCCATTCATCTTTTCTTTTTCAGATGTCCTCACTTTAATTTCGAATTCCTTACTTCAAACCAATTTGTGAAAGTCCTATATTCGAAACCAAATTTTTGATAATACCACCTAAAAGGTTTTTCATTTTAGAACAGAAACGACAAAGAAAATTAGATGAATTACACTAAAATAGGAGAAAAAAGAATAAAATTTGATTTCGAAAAGAAATGCTAATGCACGCAACGCGAGGCACGCGTCGCCTTTAAAATTCGCCCAAACATCGCCCAAGATTCGCCAAGGTGGTGGTGGTCGGCGCAGTTGCCACAGGTCTAGGAACTTCCGGTTAAAGGTGGGGGACATGAAAAAAATAATGTTCTTGAAATTCCGTTCAAAGATGCCTCTCGAGGAGTTGAACTTGTGAGGGCGATGATTGAGGGTGCGGCGCCGCTACCGACTGAGCCACGCGGGCAAAGAGAAAGCGCACGCCCGATTGCATACATGAAGGCGAGGACGACAGCTGTACGCAGAGTGACATTAAGCGTTGTACACCGTCACGGTAGAATGCATACACTAGCTACAAAAAAACTACGAAAAATCTCCTGTCCCTCCAACTTCAAAGAATTCCACTCTTCCAAAAAGTCCGCTCGAATCCAGTGAAAATTTTCGTGGCGAATCCCCGGATCATCTGTTATAGATAAGAATAACAAAAGGTTTTAACTTCAAGCAAGATTATCTTTCAATACCCTTGCTAAATTAAAAAAGAGGCCATGCCGCGAATTGAAAAAAATTGAAAAAAGAAACAGAAATTTTATGTACAATTATCTCATTTTCAGCACAAATAAGTGTAGCAAAACGCAAAAATTAGCAGAAAACACAAATAAAATAAACCAAATAATGAAAAAATAGAAATCAAGAAAGATTAGCAATCGCCTCCTTAAACCGATGTGTTCCGTGATGAATCAGTGGAGCGGCATCTTGAATGCTTCGAAACGCCATCGAGTCGACTGAAATTTAAAAAAAATGAATGGATTACTGTAGTTGAGTCAATCAGAACTAATCAAACTTGGAAGATTACGGTGATCTTTTTTTTCACTGATGTGCCGTTTATGGAAATTTGTCAAACTTAGGACCTCTACAAAGGTTGCACAGGTTTTTTTAAAAATTCTTTTCAAAATTTCAGGTTGTACTAAACAAAAATAGAACTTCATTTTTGTAGTTGTCATCTTTTCAACTCAATTCTATTCTGAAGAGATATGCCGTTTGGAACCAAAAATGCTGAAAATGCCTGTGGCGCCAATTTATGACCGCCTATCTAGCTTCGTTGAACTTGTGTAAAAAGTTGTCAAGTCCAAATTTAAAGCTCTAATTCTGGTTAGTATACTCTGAAAATTTCAGACGATTTGAAAAATTCTGAACCACTTTTGTAGGGGTCCAAATTCTGATTAGTTTACACTGAAATGGTCAAAATGTGATATCGAATTGTGACTGTTTCAACGAATTATTATTGACTTTTTTTTTCTGGAAAGAATGTTCCAGTACTGTAATAAGGAAAACTGTACCTCGATTCAAATCCGTCAACAAACTGTCCCGGTTAACCTCGGCGAATCGATGTCTATAGTTGATTGGAATTGTTTCGGTCATGCACTTATACAGCAGGATGCACAGAATAGGCTCATCGAAATTGGCCGGTTGAATGAGACGAGAGATATTGCGGACCAAGTTTCCGAATGCGTCTTGGATGTGTCTGGAAATAATTTTTGGAGAACATTCCAGAAATTTCTCTGAAGATTTTGTATTTTGGTTGATCGATGTAGAATTATATTTCTACTTATTGAAAATTGAAGGTTTATTGAGTAAGCTATGCTCTGTGAGGTTATTTATTCTTATGACGGAATAAGAGCTTACTGAAGTGAGGGGTTTAGAGATTACGTACAATTTTAGATTATTGAAATTTTTTGGTTTAAAAAGTTGTTTGGTTTTTTTTTTGGGATTTATTTTCTGGAAAATGTTTTTTTTCAGATTCAAGAAGGTTCTTTCCTAAAACCAGCTCTGTGCAACCACGCTCCACTGGACAAAAAAGTTTTCAGTTCAAAGTTTCTCACCTGAACGGATCGATATTCGTCTGAATGTCGCACTCCAGAAACTCGTTGAACGCGATATCGCTCAAATCCACATGCAACTGAAAATCATGAAAATTTGAAGTTTTGAATTTGGCACCAAGCCAATTACCATATTTGGTAGGACGAGGCGATCCAATTGAAGGCCTCCACGGGCACCGGTTTGAAGGCAAGCCTCGAAGACGTACAGAAGGAGGAGGATGTCTCCAAGAGGGTCATTCTGGAAAACCACTGTTTTAAGAGATTTATAAGGGGGTTGGGTTTTTAATCTGGAATTATTCTATGAAAACGATATAAAGGACGCTTCAAAACTAACCATTTAGAAACCAGACGCATTAGAACCGGTCATTTCGCAACCTTGAACAAAAATTTGTGGTTTAAAACGTTCGATTGTGAGTTGACTGGTTGGTTGCGAAATGCTCAGTTCCAAAATGAAAGTTTCTAAAACGTCTGGTTGCAAAACAAAAATCACAGTTTCCAAATATCCATAAAGGTTTTGATGTTTTCACAAATAGTAATAGGAAACTACGATATGATTCCTATCATTTCGCAACTGTTCTAAAACGTCAAGTGGTCACTCACCATCATCTTACTGCCAGTCTCCACAAACGGAATGTGCAAGTGTTCTGTGATTTGTACGAAAAACGGACATCCCAAACAGACACGTCTCAACATTTCAAATTCCCGGTGCATCGAGAGAATCAAAGTGGTACGGTTGGCAGAGGAGGGCATCTGGAATAACAAAATTGTTTTGAAATTTGGACTGTTCCTTTAAAGATCTATGTCGTAGCTCAGCTATTAGCAACTTGGCACCTCCAACATTGCACCCACAAATTCAACTCCTTGAGGATATTATCAAAATTCGAGAACAATATTATTTTCATGTCCACCACCCTCAGAAATCCTCTCAAACCCAGTGAAAATCTCTATAGGATCATCTGTTGTTAAGAATTTCGAAAGTCTTGAAATTCAAAAAAGATCATCCCTCCTTAACCTCAAAATTCTCGAATTCCGGCTAAAACTTTGAATTGAAGAAGTATTTTAAAGCTGAATGAATTCCTAGTGGATTTTGATTGAATTCCATGTTTCATATCAATTTGATGAAACAGTTACAGTAGTGGAAAATAATTTTGGACCCCTACAAAAGTGGTTCAGAATTTTTCAATCTCTTTGAAAATTGCAGAATATACGAAAGAAAAATTAGAGCTTTAATTTCGTAACTGGCAATTTTTTGTCAAAATACAACCAAGCGAGATAAATGGTCCTAAAATTGCACCACTAGGATTTTAGATTTTGGGTTCCAAACGGCATATCCCTTCAGAATGCAACCAAGCAAAAAAGTTGTCAATTACAAAAATAAAGCTCTACATTTGTTTAGTATACTCTAGAATTAGTAGCAATCCGGCACTCCCAACAGTGGACCCACAAATTCAATTCCTCGGGGATCTTATTAAATTAACTATATTTTTTCTTGAGAACTATATTTTTTCCATGTGTTATTAAGAATTTCAAAAGTCTTAAAATTCAAAAAAAGATTATCTCTCCTCAACCTTGATATTCTCGAATTTCGGCTTAAATATGTATTTGAAGTGGAAAATTATTCCGATGCCTAGATTAGTTGAATTAGCTGTTTCTTATTAAATTGATGAAACAGTTACAGAAAGATTTCAGATTTTCACAATTCCAGGTATTAAAAATGTAGATCCTTACCAAGTAGTTCAGGTGATTGTTTCAATTTTTCAGAATCGCAAATTTCTTCAATTTTCATTATAGCGAGGGTGTCATAAGAAGAAATGCAAAACAAGCGAGACTTTTGGAGTTAAAGGGGATAATCTTTCTCTCAAAATTCAAGCCTTTTCTTATTCTTATTAGTAAAAGATGATCCGGGGGTTAACCTCGAAGATTTAAATTTGACTTGAGAGGATTTTTTGGAATAATTTTGAAAAAAATCGAATTTCTTGAAAGACTTACTATTAACATTCAAAAAAAATTACCCTGGCTTAACATAGAAGTTTTTGAGTTTTAAAAATTGAACTAATGTTAATTCTTATTAGACTAGCAATTCTACTTTTTCTGGATTCTCATTAGACTAGCAATTCTAATGTGTCCTATTAACTAGCTGATGAAACAGTTACAATTAGATGTTCCATTCTGACTGTTACGGGGAAAAATGTGTCAATTACAAAATTGAAGTTCATATTTTGTTTAGTAAAATCTGAAATTTTCAGGCAGTTCGAAAAATATTAGACTTCTTTGTAGGTCCTCAAACTTACCACTTCAAAGTGTTGCCGTTCTGCGGCAAGTCTATGTCGGAACATGAGAATTTCATCGATCAACTGGACGGAGCTTGGATTCATCGTTTTATGAAGACTCTGACTGTTTTGAGAGGATGACGATGTTCGTTTGGCTTTGACATCTGAAAAATGGAGATTTTTGCAATTGCGAGCGCAGCTATTTGGCCTTGTAACTTTGCTCATAGACAAGACCCAGCATTTCAAATAATTTTATAGGCCTCTTATTTTTATATCATATCCAATAAAATTAATTTGAGATAATCGAGTTTGAAGGAAGTTCTGACTCACCTTGTGGCATCATTCCACTGGTGACACACTTTAAGAACCGACAGAACCGGCAGCTTCCTCCTCGCTTTGTTGGATCTGAATCGTTTCCTCCTTGAGTTTGAAGACGTCAACCTGACTTACCATGAGTAATATTGCACTGTCTGTTAGAGCACGAATACACCTTTTGGTCAGAAACACTTCTTCGGAAAAATGCTCCACAAGCCGCGCAACTGATGGCACCAAAATGATAACCCTCGGCTTTGTCCGAGCAAATTGAGCAGATCATTTCTTGAGGTGGAGCGCTGGAAAAAAGAAGTTTTCGGTGCAACAAGGTTCGAAGGTTAGGTATTAAGATTCTAAGATCCTAAGTTAGGACGTCTAGCAATTGGGTACTTTTTCTGAAGACAATTGGAGCTCAATTATCCCAACTTCTGTAAGAGATATAAACATTTTGTCAACTGATAAAATAATTGTGATATTATGATAAACAGTTTATCAGTTGACAACTTTTTGATATCTCATATAGGAACCAAGACAATTTAGCTCAAAGTGGAAAACTACTCTGTTGAAAACTGGGGTGCAGTACAATTTGATCCCCAGGAAATCTGCATTAGAAGTCATCCGATTAGACTAAAAATATTCTGGGTGCACTAAAGAAAACTAGAGCTTTAATTTTGCAGTTGAGACCTTTTTGTACAAATTCATTCAAATGATATATATCAAAATGTTTGTGACATTTTACAAAGCATTTTATCAGTTAACGGATTTTTTATATTTCTTATTGGAACCGAGATGATTGAGTGGAAAGTTGACGGGGTCGCTATTATCTCGGTGTTTTCCTGTTTCATAATGGCAATGAATACAGTTGAAGTATATTTTTTCACTGTAGCCATTCTTTGAGCTATTTTCAGTTTCACGCGCTCCAATTATTTCAGACCTTTTGACTAATAAAAATCAAGTTATTTTTCAATTCAAAATGGGTCAATTTAGCATCGCATAAAAATTTCTTTCTGTTTCAAAAGGCCCATAAAAATTGGGGAACAATGAATTGTTTAATAGTATCATCTTGGTTAGTGATATTCTTTCTAAACAATCTACAGTAACCCACTTACCTGCTCCAAACCGCTGGGCTGTAGTCCATTGTCCAATAGCACTGGCTACTACTATTCCAATCAGTACTTGTCGAATAAAGATTCATGAATAAAAGGAGGCGGGGTTACCTTTTCCAGAATTCCAGGACAGGTATGGGATATACAAAAAAACACACTCTCTCTCGACGCGACTTGACAAATTTTTATACTAGTTTACAAGACTTTAATCCTTAAAGGGGAGGGGTGGGAGAAAAAAGGTTCCAGTTGTCTCCCCCTCGGATTATCCTCACCCCGAGGAGAGGTATCGATAGGCCGAGTTGATAAGAGGGGAAATCCATCTTCATTGGGAATGATACACTGATTTGGCACAAGAGGATGATGAAAATCGGTGTGACTTCTTCTTGTGACGTTGCGGCTTGTTGTCGTAGGGAATGAGTCAGGAGACGTCTCGCAAAACTTCCTGGACTACAACTTTTTTTATCTTTTAAGAAGATTTGAAGCTTCTGGAGAAGAGGATTGGAAAGGTTTGAAAATAGGAAATAAGGAAGTCGGTTTTATTTTTGTATAACTTTTTTTGGTTCCGGTTTCGGATGAATCACTCATTCATTATTCATAAGTGCCGATTCTGACAACTTTTCGATATTAAAATTCTGAGATCTTTTTACGTTAGAAGTAAAACTTTCCTTCTGACGAAAATGACGAAAATGAAACATGGGTTTGGGCTGAAAATCTTGGAGATTTTGGATTTCGGGTTATCGATGTAGAATTATATATTTTACTTATTGAAAATTGAAGTTTTATTAAGTAGAATGTGGTCAGTGGTGTTGTTTATTTTTGTGACGAAATAGGTGCTTACCTGAGGGGTTTAAAGATTACGTACAATTTTAGATGACCGAAAATTCTGCGTTAAAAAATTGTTTTTGGTTTTTTTTTAACTTCTTTCTGGAAAATATATATGTTTTCATAATTAAAGGTGGTGTACGGTGAAATTTTTTATTGCATCAAAATGTGCAGAAATGCATGTAGATTGGCATAAAAA